TTTTTTTTTTTTTTTTTCCATTATTGCTTTAATATTTGCTCTGAAATGCTTATTTATGTTATTAGTATAGTGGTATCATGATGTTTTAGTGAGTCAGTAGTTACATTGTTAGAGTGGGCGGCGCAGTTGTTATTCCTGTGCTTATTTATTTGACACACTTTCTATTTTTGGAATGCTCAAAAGTATATAATCATCCCATTTATATATTTTTATTTTATTTTATAATTATGGTGCATGCGTCCACCTTGACTAATCCACCAGGTAGAGGCAAAAACACTAGGTGATGTTTTCCATTTGTCCAAGTCTTGGGAGATAGAGTTATATGAGATCTGTGTCGAAGTGTGCGTGGTTCGAACACCACGTTTATTTTACAAAAAAAAAAAAAAAAAAAAAAAAAAAAAAAAAAAAAAACCACTAGGTACCTACAATCCCTGCTAGCTATTGGGTGACTCTGTTCACCAAGGCGTCCATTCCATTGATAATATTTTTATAGAAGGCTCAAACTTTTTAAAAATTCAAATTCATTTAATTATTCAAAATACACTTAGATGCGGTGTTTTCTCTATTAAAACAAGGTTTTCAACCATTACTTTGATAATCATCTTCTATGATCACTAACATAATATATGTCTAGTCAAACACTGACGTATTATGGAGCAAAAGGAGTAGTTTGCAGTGAGATGAGTTTGTTCCTCCACACATCATATCTAGTGGTTTATTTCATTTTATTTGTTATGCTCTATCATTTGAAGGCTGTAGCCCTACTTTTAACATACGAAGTAGAGATTGATGGATTAGGAAAAAAGAAAGAAATCAAGCAATCAAAAAAGTGAAGCTGAAGATCTAGATGGTTGAGCATTTTGTGCTCACACAATGTCTATAGGATAAGAACATTGTAAAGCTTGAAGATTTAACTTGAAGCCTTGCAAAAGATAAATTTGCATCCTTGCATTTGGTGGTTCAAGTGGTGTATGATAGGTTCTGTTGATCTCTGTTTTCTGAAGAAAAGTTTTTATAAAGATGATGAAATGGATTACAGGACCAGGTTATACATAACAAGCCTCTATCACTGTATGTACTAAGAGATCACACAAGAAGCATTGAGAAAGAATTCTTGGTAACATACTCAGTAATGGGATTATCAAGTTCCGATTTACAGAAGTTCTTGTCAGGTATGTTCTATTTATTTCAGCCTCTTGTGCCGAATATGCTTTCGTTTAATATATTAGAGTTCAGGACAAGCATTCATATTTGAGATTTTAACGAGTATAAAGTAACAGTGACTTTATTTCGAGTTCTATGACTGCATGTTATTGTTAATAGCCAAGTCCATTGTTCTTCATACTTCTGGATAGAGACATTTGAGGCTGCAAATATGTCTTTAACAATCAGTTTAAAAAGAGATGTGGGTGTTGCTTGTTTAGTTCCCTGTGCTATTATGACCTGATTGATCATGATACATTGGTGATTGAATGGCTTTCGCCTTTTTTTAAATGATCGTCACTTGTACAATATTTTAAGCTATTGGTGAAAATTTTTGTTTTAGAAAACCTCATGGTCTTCCGGGGTGTTCAGAAAAGCTATTGCAGATGAATAACATTTATCTTATGCATTTGAAATTGCAACTATGCTTGGTTCAAAGTTACGGCGCAAGAAAGTGGCTATACGTTATAGCATGCTCCCAGTCATGCCCCCCTTCCTTGGCATCTTTGTTTTGACATGAAAAGTGACGTTGCACCACATATCTATAAAAATGTGGTAATCTAATTGACTGTGACACTAATATACTAATGTAGTTCCCTTATCAAAAAACTAAAACTAATATATTAATGTAGTTCATATTTTGTTCCTCTTTCTTTGGGTTGTACTAACTAGATCAGCCTGGTGTGTTCACTTCTTCGGGATTTTCCATACATTTGATGATGCCATGTGAATCGCTAGAAACATGTGAAGTGTATGGCTAACCCAATAACGAAAGTTTCATTAGGGGACTGGAGAAGGCTACCATGAGACAAAAGATCTTCTTTCTAAAGAGATTCGATTCGGAACTCTTCTATGTCCAAGGTTCAATATTGAAATAATTTCAGAGAGTTTTTCCTGACTTTGTCCGTGTCAACAAACAATTCGAAATACCTCGACTTTTTTAGAACAAGTCCGAGTCAAATAGCAATGATTCGAAGCACTTCTTTTTACACTATTTCGGAAACCCAAGGACTCAATCGTATGGATATGTAAAATACAGGATTTCCTCATCCTATGTTATGGAAGGTTGTTAGTTTGCTGAGTTAAGCACCTTCAACAATACTTGCTTAGATCTACCTTTTAAATTATTTCCAATATTTCTGGATTTTTGCATAAAATAATTTTTCTGTTGATCGACGTCTAATAACATGTAAATTGTTTACTTCTCACTGGTATGGAGTTGCTCTGTCAATGATTTAATATGAACTAAAAATGTTCTGTCTCCCCTGAAGACTGAAGTTCTCTAAAACTAAGTTTTTCACCAATAGCTTCAAATATTGTACATCCCACAATTTTATAGAAATAGTGAAAGCCATTCAATCACCAACATGATTTGATCAATCATGTTATAATAGCTATTCTGATTCTCATCACCCACTAAATGCAAATACATACCTTAGTGCTATAAATTATTCCAACCTATATGTATGTAGTTGAAAATATAATCAAGCCCACAGTTCCATTTCATTCGTGTAATAGGTTAATGCTCATGAACCACTTGGTGACAACATAGTTCGGTCTGTGGGCAAATGAAAGTGAAGCCTTTAAATGTTACTGCGTGAACCAGAAAAAATTTCTATTTTTTATTTTTTTTTCCCATTCGTTATTCGGTCTACACGCTTTCTAGAATGAAACTCAATGAAATCAGCAATCATGGATGACTATATGATTCTCAGACTTGCAGCTCCTTGAAGAAAATACATTGCAGCTTTTGTGGGCAGGAAAGGAGCTCACCAGAGGGAAAAAGTTGTGCGACTTTATAGGAAAAAATGAGAAGACAAAGGTACATAATTTTGTCTCCACCTGTGACAAGGATATATCCGTACACTGAGGGTTCGTTTGGTTCGAAAACAAGTTATACATGGATTATACTTCACGGATTAGTAATACATGGATTAGTAATGCAAAGATTATTTCTTGTTGGGTGTTTAGTTCATTGCACTAAAATTGGATATGCAAGATATCTTTTATAATATTTGTTCATCTTTTATACTAAAAAGTAATGAGTTTACAATTATACCCTTGGATGCTTGACTTTCATAGGCTTCTAGAAAACAGTTAAGGACTATTTTATCCTTTTGATGCTTTATCCATGTATAACTTATACAGTTATACATGAATTAGTTATTCCATGTTGATAGTGGTATAAAGTTATACCAAGATTGGTGTACAACTTTATACAAGGATTAACTATACATGAATAAAAAAGTAAACCAAACATTGTATAACTATTACAACTCTTTTATACCATGGTTATTTCTTGCTATACATCAACAACCCCTAACATTCTACCATTGGTGGCAGATTGTAATCAAGCTGCAGCCACATATTCCACCTCCTTCATCACTTTCTGGTACTTCTTTTTCTCAATGGAGTTGGTTTTTATTTGTTTTATTTGTTTTTTTTTTGGGGGGGGAGGGGGGAGCAGTGATTTGAGAAATATCTTACTGACATTTTTGTTTTCTGTATTCTATTTTTTTTTTCTCACATAAAAATAAAATTTGATGCATTTTTATTTTATTTTGGAGGTGGAGAAAATTCTTGAAATAAAATGTCCTCTGGTCCGTGAATGACTTTCAAATTGGGGAATGCACTCCTCTTGACTACCTTTCTTGTTTATTGGCGGTCCTTCCTACTGCGCTGCAAAGGTTTGTGACTTACTGAGACATTAACTGCCTTCTTGTTGACAGCATATTGGTGTTGTAAAGATTGCACGCCTAACTTATTTATGTACTCCTGGCATCTCAACTATGACGACTATCCAGAACGTTCTAAAGCTTAATGCTATAAGTCAAACTCAGTGAATCATGTCGTCAGATTCCTATAATTTGTAAGCTAATTTAATTTATTTTTTTTTAATGGATTTTTGTCTTCCAAAAAGTGTTGTATTTTGGCTAGTTATGTCTGATCCCTTTTCTTTTTTACTTTTGTGGTTCGTATTCTTCAGCTTGCTCAGTTTGTTGTGCTTACACTAAGTGCAATGAAGATGATTTTTTTTTATATGAAGTGGTGCAATGAAGATGATTTGATCACGTAGTTCATTTCTTTCATCTGATGGTCCTAAACGTGCAGTGAAGATGATTGGATCTCGTAGTTCTTCTTTCTTTCATCTAATGATCCTACTTCTTGAGACAGCGAGGAAAAATATAGATATGTAGGCAAACAAATTGTACTAATGCTTGATGAACTAGAAAAGACAGAGATATCATTGCATTGCTTTAATATTCTCTAGAGACACGAACCAAAAATAAAATTTCTTTGATATTTGTGAAAGTATACAGGCTTTGGCTCTCACTTTGTACCTGGATATTCTACATCTTTGATGGTTTCCATTCATTTCATGGGCATATTAAATATATGGAGTCCATAATATAACAAACCAGTCCCAGTTTTTCTGTTCCCCAGTAAGAAAATCTGTTTTTTTCAATCTAAGCTAGTTGAGGCCAGCTATATAATCTTATATAGTGATTGTCCGATTTAGGTCCATTTCAAAACTATTCTAGAACTCCTTTCAGAAACCACTATTGTTTAGTGGTTATTAACTTCCTATAACTGTCATATACATAATAATTTTCTATAGCTACTATTCAGTTGTTACGGTAGTGTATTCACATGTATTCGCGCTGATGTATTCATGAATACAACAACAAAAAGCGCTTAAAATCAGGGCAGACCAACTTTACGTGCATATATTCATGAATACAACAGTAAAAAGCGTCTAAAATCAGGGCAGTCCAACTGAACGCGCATGTATTCGCGATGTTGTGTTCATGAATACAGCAATAAAAAGCACCTAAAATCAAGGCAGTCCAGCTGTACGCGCCATGTATTCATGAATACAGCAGCAAAAAGCGCTTAAAATCAGGGCAGTCCAGTTGTACGCGCATGTATTCACATGTATTCGCGTCATGTATTCATGGTTATGCTTTGTGAGACTCATGCATTTGAAGTTTTACCCCGAGAAAAGAAAAAAATGCTTTCTCTGGGGGGATCATGCTTCTCGACACATAGACTTTCTAAGACCTAGCATAGAGCAGGGTGATTGAATTCTAAGGGTTCAAGGTGCACCCTCAGATGTTGGTAAAGATTTTTCTGTATTGGTTATGCTTTGTGAGACTCATGCAATTGAAGTTTTACCCCGAGAAAAGAAATAAATGCTTTTTCTGAGTTCTTTCGTAGGGAAATTCCCCTGCATTTTTCATCCTCTGGTAAATGGAAGGATCATATAAATATCCTTCGATTTTACTTAGCTTTTATGAGTATCTTGAAAACTAGAAATTAGTGGTGATGCTTGATCTGATAACATTGACTAAAGAAGGAGCTTAGTCGACCACTTTTAGTATCCTTTTTGGTATTTGATTCTCTAGACGTTGGGGAAATTGGTGGGGAGAAAGTGTTTCTTGTAATATGCTTATCAGTATCCCCAAGTGCTGGACAACATCAATTAATCTTTACAACAATGTTTTTTTGGGTCTATTTTTTGTCAAAAATCTGGCTGACATCTTCACTTAGTTTACGTTTTGGTACACCCACTTAAAATCCAAAAGATGGTTCTTCTTTTTTCTAAAAGCAACCTTTTCTTTTCTGCCAGACCAAAATAAATGAAAATGAAAGTATGTTTTTTTTTGTTCTGTTTTTCTTTGCTTTTTCCTAATAGTGAAAAAATCTACCCTTCTTTGCCCCAAGGCTTTGGTCCACTGGAGAAAGATAGAGTCATTGCTATTCTAACCTGTGTCAAAAGATGGGAAGGTAAAAGTTTAGAGCATTATGCGTGGATTAGGCGTACGTCACGGTTCATAATCCTGTTGCAATCAAAAGGTTGGTATTTTAATGAAGAAGGATAAAAAGATGGACTCATTATTCACCTAGTTTAGAACCATGCATCATTGGTCCCTAGGAATTTCTCAGTTAAAAAAAATAAAATCTAGCATTTCCTACTTCTCATGTAAGATGGTGCGAACAAATTTGTTCCTAGAACTTTGGTATAATGGTAAGAGCACAACACTTTATGTATAGGTTAGACGCAGTCACCGGACTAAAAGGAAATGGACAATCCCAACAATACTATACACCCTTTCAAATGACATGTATGGAACGTCTTGGAAGGGACAATAAGAAAACTCGACTTAAACAGCAGTGGGTCCCAGGAAAGTATTATTTTGGGATTCCACAAGTTTCCCGCACAGTATATACGGATTCGACTACCACTGTTTCCTGAGTGCCACATAAGTGGGCTTTGCAATCGAAATTGATGATTATCTTTGGTATTTCCTTTGATTAGAATGACCTCACAATATGACTTTATTTTAATCATGATTCGTACATTTCCCATCACTAATAAAAAAGATATTTGTTACTCCTTCCGGTCCATAATAAGTGACCAATTTATTTTTTCATTTTTGTTTAAAATAAGTAACCATTTATATAATCAAGAAAAAATTTAATTTATTTTTACTCTTTTACCCTTACGTGCATATCGCTAAAAAATTTTCTTACTCCTCACATTAAATCCACTATAACTATGTGACCAATATTTAATTAAGGGTAGTTTAGTAATACTAGGTATTTTTGTATTGAATTTAGTATTTTCTTAATGGTCGTGCATAAAATAAACTGGTCACTTATTGTGTACCGGAGGGAGTATCATCGGCATGTGATAGTATTAGATAATATAGATTTTAAAAAAAGTTGTTTTACTCGAGAAATAAAATGCTAAAATATTCAATATTGATAGAAAACAAAATTAGAAAGCAAATCTGTTAGTACTCTTGATTCTTCTCAAAATAAGCAAAGTGACCCAGTACAAATGAAATTATGTATGATTGTTGCAATAATTATTGATGTACTTTGAGGACCATTAGACCACTTTCTTTCTGCAGCCTCCACAGATTCTTATTCTTAATAAAACCATCATTAGCTTAATAAATTACACAATAAACTAATAACATTAACAATTTATTACTAAAACTTAAGGTTGAAGCCTTCTAACAACAATCTGTAGCAGTCAAAAGACAAATTCATCAAACAGGGATACTGTATTTTATTTCTGCATTATGCTCAAAATAGCTCTTTATTAGTCATATTCTTTACCTTTATATTGAGGGTTCAAGTTCCCTCCTCCATCTAATGGAACCAAAATAAAAGGAAGAATAGTTCTTTATAATGGTTTTTTTTTTAGTATCCGGTATCCAAAGTCCAGACTAATGCAGATTCATCAGTAGGGCCCACATTGGTCATAGAATATTTCTTTCTTAGTGATAAGTAAGTCTCTATTTTCCATCTGTAAAAAATTATCAAGCGGCAAAGGTTGAGGAACTTGTGACTGAGGTCACAGGTTCGAGCACTGCACTATGCGAACTAAGCCTAGAATTTAAGTGGAGAAGAATGGAGGCGGGCCGATTATCCCCGAGAGCACAGGTTCGAGCACTGCACTATGCGAACTAAGCCTGGTATTTAAGTGGAGAAGAAGAGAGGGGACGGACCGATTATTCCTGAGTTTCGGCTGCCGTGATTATCCTAAGGGTTGTCCCTATACAGATTTCTCGGTCATAAAAAGAAAACTACATTTCTAAATCTTTAAGAATTATGTCATTTTGAACCTTGTACTCCCCTTGTACTATCATCATAATTATGCACTAAGAAGCCTTAATTAGGCATTTTTCACAAATTGCAAGAATGAGTTGTGCTTTTGAAATACTAGCCATTTATGCCACATTTTGAGAATTGCTAAACTATATGGAGGCTTATTACACAAAATTTGTGAAAGAAAGAAATACATGTAATAAGATAACTCTGTTCATTGTCTACTTCTGCCACCAAACTTTCCAGTAAAAGAGGATATGACAACAAGAAAAAGGAAAAGTTTATCCCGTGCAAAGTCCAGGTCTTTCTTGTTCTTCACTAATTACCTTAGAAGCTGACAATGAACAAACTCCAATGTCACTTATTGTCTTTCTTGAATGAAACTGCTGTTGAGAATTTTTGCAATGAGCAATTGCTGCTTGGATTGAGTTCTCTATTTCTGAATATGCACTACTGCTTCTCTTAAAGAAATGCATATCTTGAAATTCATTTGAATTGTTTGAGCTTGAAGCTGATGAGGAGCCAGAAGACGAAGTAAATGAAGAAGAGGAACAAGATTTAGCTGTTGAAAATCTTTTAATAGCTCCTGAAAATGACCTTCTATGTCTACCTTTCAAATCTTGATCAACAACATTTTCTTTGTTCATCCCTTTTGAATATACACCTCTTTGAGTTTTCCCAAATGGCTCTTTTTTCCCTTCTTTGACATTATAACTATGTTCTTTAGCCATTGGTACAGACCCTTTGTCAAAGTTTGCTGAGTACTCATTTGAACAACCAGATTTAGAAAAGAATGACTTGACATAAGCGCGGGAGGATTTAAGTTTTGAACCAAACGAGGAATTTTTAATCAGCTTGAGTTTTCGCGTCCAAGACCTTTTGGAATTTTCATCTACTGGATTAAAGCTATTGACATGATCTTCTGTTGAGTACTCGAATAAGTATTCGTTAGGATTAAGTTCACGACTAACTTGACAGGAATCAGAGGGAGAAATATTGCAAGATTCAAATGGTGTATTATTTGTAGGAGTATTTGTAGTGGTTGTGAATAAAGGTGTACTAAAAGAAGACTCTTCAAATATATCAACTTTTGTAGTTCCATGAACTGATTTATTGGGATTTTGAAGAAGTTTTTCCACCATTTGTTGTGTACCAAAAGGGAGGTGAAGAGGGAGAAGTTTACCATTGTGGAAAAGTTCATCAGCTGGTGAAGTTGTTGTGTCTTTATCAATTGAGTTTGGTAACATTTGGAACTCAAATTCTCTAGCCTGAGATGGGGAGTTTTTGAAATGTGAAAATATGTTTGAATGTGAACTTACTTCCATGTCTATATAATCTTCTTCTGCATTATCACATGAACGACGAATTTCTTCATATTCCATGTTTTTTTCTTTCTCTCTTTGTGAGTTGGGAAGTGTAAGTTGAGCTTTGAGAGCAAATGCTGAGGAAGAGGACCATTTTAAAGAGGATAGTTGTACAACTTTTTCTTTAAAAATCTGTCCAAATGCCTAATAGTGTTAGGCATATTTTAAATGATCCCAAATATGAAATTTAGGACATAAAGGGGAAGATTGTTTTTTGGTCATGTTTATGTTGTTTAACAATTTTCTTAAAATATTGGACCTTTAACTTCTTCTAATGGCTGATGTAATTTATTAACTTTGTGGGATTTATAATATAGAAAATAAGACTTCCTAAAATATGGGATTTGTAACCTTGAAAATAAGATAACTTATCTGTTATAAAAGAAAAAAGTAATC